CATGGGCGCTTCCTACTTCCGCCTTGGCCCCCATACCATCCTCTCACTCTTCTTCTGGGACCAGCTTCGATTCCTTTACCAGAAACACAATCAGTGACCCCACCCCAACTCCAAATTTTCCCTCAACACACTCCATTTGGGAAGGACTGTTCTCCCCCTTGATCTAAAATTTCCTGGACCCTTCCTTTAGGTCTTAGTAACTCATAATCACTCACCGCGACCCCCCACACCCTTTTTCTCAGGGTTGAATCACTATGTGGGGCACTCACTCCCATCCAACCATCACTGCTGCAATCATACACAGCTGAAAACCTCTCACCCTTACTCTCAGGGTTGAATCAAAGGGATATTTTCTTTTTGCCCAGACTGCCAGCTTCCAGTTCCCATGCACAGCTTTAAACCTCATTCCCCCAAACCAAAGGGAATTGGAGGGACTGTTCTTCATCTCTGCCTCTAGATTCAAATTGTATAAATGCTTTTTCCCTCTCCCACCAAAGCCACCGAGATTGTATTGGTATAAAGCAAGTTTATTTCTGCAAAGGTGGTGCCTTATGTCTGTATGTGGAGCAGAGATATGGGGGAAACCCCAACCATCAACCCCTTGCTTCTATTGGGGAATCCAGACATTCAGACACCAGCAGCAGAGGGCAGTTCAGGATCTTTCCCGGGGGCCAAAGATGCTGGGGTCAAGAAGAGTCAGGGAAGTCACTAGCCTTTCAAAGTCAACCAGGGTCCAGGGTGGGAGGCACTGGGCTTCATGTCCATGGGCTGGCCTACTCCCAGAGCTGGGGAAGAGAGTAAAATGATTATACAGGGCTCCGATTTTTTCCTCCACATGAAACAGGCATTTTTGTCTGCCACACTCCACCTCCTTTCAGCTCCTCCAGCATAAATTCTCCCAGTTCTCCCAAGCTTCCCAACCCCTCCCTTCAGGGACCCAATCATCCCGCCCAAACACTCCACCCCCACTGCATTTACATAGGCTCGTTGAAGGTCAGCAGGAGGTCGGTCCCATATTGGGGCAATCGGAACAGGGCCAGGTGTAAGATCACATCCTTTTCATTCTGAGGGCAGCAGAATCAGCTTAGATTATTGTGCAACCACACAAAGACAGAGCTGCCGGGAACCCCGAAGATCGTCGCTCCTTTTACACGGGGAAACTGCAGCTTCCCTGGCTTCGCCCAGCTAGTCGGTTGTCCAGGACTTGGAAGCCCTGTTCTCTGAACTCCACTCCGGCTATTCCTTCCACCACCACCTCCAGCCCCCGGCTTGCCGCACCGTTCTCTCCGCCCAGTATTTCGACATCTCTCTCCTCCCGCAGGCTACTCTCACCACCCAAAGCCCCAAGGCCCTCACCGCCTCGTTCTCCTTGGCCATACGCTGCCGACCGCAGAGGACCCAGGCATCCCGGCAGCCCCGAAGGGACAAAGTGTGGGAGGAGAGGGGCTGCACAGCATCTACTTGCTCGCCCCCTGACCCTTGCACCCCTCCCAGAGCCTCGAAGTGGTACCTAGATGGGGAGGGCGAGAAGAAGGGGGGGGCGAAGCAGCTTCAGACACACCCTCTCTACAGAGGATGCCCTTTGGCCACGCCTCCTCCTCCAACTGGGACTCGTATCTCCTTCCCATTGGCTAGAAGATGCCCCCGCCCCCGCCCTTGGCGGAGGTGCTCACCGCGCGGCCGCTTCTCCTTGCACGTGTGCCTGCAGCTCCAGGAGCTCCACGATGAGACTCTGCTCCGTCCCGCGGTGGCAGAAAACTTCTTGGTTGTCCGGTACCGGCCGGAAATCACTGCGGGGCAGAGGCAGAGTCTGAGCGCCGTATCCCGCCCCAGGCTCCCGTCCCGTGACCCTACCCAGCAGTGACCCCTGACCTCACGTCCAGAGCCCCTGGGGGAAGGGTGATGGAGAAGGCTCCCCCGAACAGCGGATGATTTCGTTTGGGCTCCATAGACGGGTCTGTAAGGGGGCGGCGAGAGAAAGGAAAAGGTGTGAGGAGGAGTGATGCATTTCCCGCCCCTTCCCCCGCCAGCGTCCTTGGTCAGGAAGGCGGGGCGGGGCATGGGGGGAGTGGGCACAAGTTCTCTCATCCTCCGTGCTACCTCCGTTCTTTCCTTACCTGGTTCTTCGTTCTTCTTTGGTTCCGGGGCCCTTTAAGGTCTGGCCCCGCCCCCGGCCGCGCCACCCAATGGGCGCCGGAGCCTCCTTGGGGAGTTCCCCCTCCCTGTTCTGCCGGCTAAACTAAACTGCCTAAAAGATGGAGGCGGCGGTGGGGTCAAATATCTTGCCCAGCGACCAATGGGAGAGATGAACGGGGTCTCTGCTTTTGTGACGTATACGGCAGGCCCCCTGGGCTAGCCACTCACGGCCCGGCCCAGGACCTTTCTTAAAAAGGCTACCACTGAGATTAAAAAAAGGCTGAGAAAAATAAGAGGAAAGGACGCAGCCCCGGGTTGGGAAGTCTGTTCTCCATTTGGTTCAGAAGGGCTGGACATCAGTGCCCCCTCCCCCAGTCCTCTCCCCCGGAGTGGGAATAATATCTAATTTTTATCAATTAATCTCCGAGGGCCAGTTGTGAGATTAGGGAAACAATGGGACCAGGTGCCTGTCCCTTCCCAGCACTCCAAACATACACGCCCCTTCCTTGTTCCTGGAACCTGAGACCTCGAGCCTGCGATTGCTTGAATAACCTAATTAATGCCCCCCACCAGCTCTTTTCCTGGGAACGCTACGTGGGGTAGGGTTGTGTGAGGGTGGGACTATGCAGATCTGGGCCGCAGGCCTGGATTCCTCGGGCACAGGAACGCCCAGAATCCCAGAGTTGCAGCAAACATTTGCAAGGTCATCCAGTCTCTCCCACAGCTGAAAGAAAAGAATGCCTTCTACAAGTCAAAGGATTCTTTTCCAGCTTGATACAGTCAACTGGGTACTGAATTTGGAGTCAAAGGAGACCTGGGTTGAATTAGTGAATTACTGAGTCTATGGCAGACCTGGGTGTGCCATTTGGGTGGACTTAAATGTTATAGCTCCAAATCTGTGGTCATACTAGGATGATTCCAGTCCTCCCTATACTATTTGTGTAAGTAACAGTGGACAAGTTAACTTCCTTAGGATTGAGGTTTTTTCATGGGTAAGTTTCTAGGACCCTCTTGCAGCTTTAAATCAACAATTATCTTGTAATTTTGATTTTGTGCTACTCTGGGGCTTGGAGCTAGGTCACTAGGGTCAAACTCCATCTCCGCCATTTACCATTTGTATGACTAGGCTTCTGTTTCTTCCTCTACTATATGAGGAGGTGGAACTATCACAGCATCGAATTCCATCTCCCTCATTTTACAGATGAAGAAACTATGGCTCAAAGGGATTAAATGACTTGTCCAGGGTTACATAGCTAGTGTCAGACCTGTCATTTGAACGAAGCCTTCTTGGCTACAAGTCCAGTACTTTATTCACTCATCTTCACCCAAAAATCCTAGACTAAAAAAAAAAAAAAGTCCTAGACTCTCGGATTATTAGGAATTTTTTCCTTAAAAGAAGCTAAAATTTGTCTTTCTGCAACTTCTGCATATTGCTCCTAGATGATTAAATCCTTTTCCTTCCCTGTTTGGGATGTTTGAGTTGAGACCTCCTCCACCCCCATCTCCACCCCCATCTCCACCCCCACCGCCACTATACTTTTTCCTATTTCCCATTAGGGAAGTCTGAGGCCTAATTTTCCATTGTCCAAGAGATGGTTTCCCCTTCCTTCCTTAGAATTCCACACTCTGCAGCTCAACAAGCCCCTTCCCTGGGTCTTATCTCAGTGACTTACCTAGTTTCTCATCTCTTTTTGGGACCAAGAAACATCCTGCTTTTGAAGTCAGAATTGGAATAAAATATTTGTGTGTTTAACTGGAGACCAGGTTTGAAAATTGTACCACCCTCCTTCCCCCAGAATCTCCTACCTCTAGTCCACCTCCATCCCCTGGAGATTGTGAGGCTTAACTATAATCCATGTAGTAATTATCACAAAATAACTTCTATTTATACAGGATGGAATGTGAGCTAAAATCATGATCTTGAGGTGACCTTATGCTGATGAAGCATAAACCCCCATCTTGACTTCCTGCCCAGTTTCCTAGCATGAGGAGTTGAGGCCTCCCCCAGAGAACCTGTACCACGCACCAGACCGAAGTAGTTCTAGCCGGAGCTCTTTGGGAAAAGCTTGACAAAATTAGAGCTGTGAAACAAATTTTGATGTTGGTTTTCTGAACTGAAGGGCTTGAACGTGGTGGGAGGATGGAGGGCCTGTTCAGGGCCCAAGTCCCATATCCTCTCTATCATCTCTTCTCAGCTTCTAATCTCAGGAATCTAAACTTTATAGGAGAGGAGGAGGGGAGGACAAAGGGCCTAGACAACCAGGCAAAGCTGAAGCTGCAAAGCAGAGGATGAAGAAGGTAGAGGACAAGTCATCCTTTCCTCCTCAGCTTTCCCTCCCCAATCCCCCCCCCACCCCAGTCTCTCAGTCTAGCACCTAAATGCAAAGGAAAAAGCTGATGGGAGTCAGCTCCATAGGTTTCAGTCTAAGAGTACTCAGTGTGTTGTATCAAATCAAAAAGTGTAAAATCATATCTAATTAAATGTCTCCAATGTTCAATGTACCATGCTAGGTGCTATAGGGAATACAAAACCAATTTATAAGACTAGTCCTTAATGCTCCAAAGAAAAAGCCAGTCTACCTAGTGAGCCAAGACATTCGTAAGTTAATTTCAATTCAATATAGCACTAAGGTCTAACTCAGATCTGGTATGGTACTCATTGACATATTTGTTTTTAGTAACGAGTCCAAAGCAAAAGACTACCAGAAAACATCTGCAATGCACACTTGGGGCATACCCTCTCATTGTACCCTGATCATTGTATGATCAATGGGATACAGAATACACAAATAGGAAACAGGCATGTATTGAAACATATCTAGAGACATATGGGGGGGTGATATGTGTGGTTGTGTGGACAGATTATTTGCATGGCTCGAGTTGCAAGTATGCCAGTATCCTATGATGATGTATCACACTAATTTAGAATGTGTATGAAATAGGATATAAGGGATGTAAGACAAAGATGACAATAAACTTCTCAGCTTGTTAGGTGAGAAAGATTGAGCTAGAAATTGCCCTACTTGGTGAACTGGAAAAAAAAAGATCCTTTTGTCTTGAGGAGATCCATAGAAGGAAACAAAAAGGGTTCCCATTGTACTGTGAGCCCCTAAGTTGTTCATGGTTTGGATAATGGTAAATCCTTACACATATCAGTACTAAAGTAGTTTTGTCCCACTCAAACTTATTGGGCAAGGCTATTGAAGAGAAGCCATGGGAGCAGTTGAGAAGAGCTATATTCTTCAATTGGAGAATTATTCACACTCCCTTCCCCACAGTCAGTTCTTAGGTGGTGGCAGAAGAGATAGTCTCAGCAGTCAGATGATGGTAGCCAATCCAATATTAATTAAAATGGAAACTGAATACCGTGTGATCATAATGACCAAGTTTGTCCATAAGTCTAAAAGCATTTTTTAAGCAAAGACTACAGTGTGCCAAGAACTGTGCTAAGGAATAGGGGTACAAAGAAAGGTAAAAAACTACCCCAAATAATGCAGTTCCTGCTCTCAAAGAATTTATAATCTAATGGAGGAGACACCATACAAACAAGATACAGATAGATATACATGTGTACATATTTATAATAAATAGAAGATAATCATATTAGACAGAGAATGTGGCATATAGTAGAGCAGGTTATGAAGGAGCTTACAAGTCAAATACGATTTTCCCTGCTGGAAGTTTATTGGCATGGTCACTGACAGCAGAGTGGAAGACAGACTGGAGTGGGGAGAGACTTGAGGTAGGGAAACTAAACCAGGAGGCAATATTAGAGTAGTCCTGGTGTGAAGTAATGAGGGCCAATTGTACTAAGGCGGTGGTAGTGTTAGCATATACCAGAGATATCATAAAGGTAGTATGGACAGGACTTGGCAACAGATTAGATATTGGCAGGGGTGGGGGGTGAGAGTGAGATTACAATGATATTGAGGTTGTAATTCAGGGTGACAGGGAAGATGGTGGTATCCTCATTAGTACTAAGGAGATTAGGTTCCTTATTGAACCTGATTTGAGTTTTGGAATGTTGAGTTTAAAATGTCAAGTTTAAGATGTCCAATAAGCAGTTAGAAATGTGGGTCCAAGAATCATTTGCACAGAGATGATAACTGAATCCATAGGAAAGAAAGTATATAGCAGGCCCAGGACATACTGTGGGAGATACTCACAGTGAGCGAGTGTGACCTAGAGGAAGATAAAATGAGTAAGAATGAGAAAGAGCTGTCAGACAGCTAGGAAGAGGACCAGGAGAGGGCAGTGACATGAAAAGCTAGAAAGAAGATGGTGTCAAAGGTTGCAAAAAGGTCAAGAAGGATGAGGATTGAGAAAAAGGCTCTAAGATTTGGTCATTAACCCCCCCCACACACACACAGAGCATTAGTATGTACACAGCAGAACAAAAGAGGATTGCATATGAAAGCACTGATCTCCATTCCATATTTCTTGCTTTTTTAAAAACAGAATTGAATGTTATTTTTAAAAAAATTTGGTCATTAAGAGATCTGATAATTTTGGGGAGGTAAGTTCCGGTTAAATAGTGAGGTCAGAAGCCAGACTACAGATTTTAAGAAGAGTGTAAGAGAAAAGGAGTGGAAGAACCAATTACAGGTCACCTTCTCAAGGAATTTATCCACAAAAGAGACATGGGACGATAGTTAAGGGGGATGGCTAAGTCAATCAAATGAAGGTTTTTTTGGGGGGGTAGAGGAGACAGAGGCATGTTTGTAGACGAGAGTGAGTGGGGATGAGGCACTAATGTATATAGAAGAGTGCCTTGATAAGAAGGGCCACCTCTTCATGAGAGACAGGGTAATGGTATAGTGTGGGAAGATACGTAAGTGATGTAAGATGAAGGGGGGAGGGGAGAAGAGGAGCTCCTGGCAAATGGCCTAAATTTTTTCAATGTAATATTGAGGCAAGGTTATCGGCTGCAAGGGGTCGGGGAAGGGGTTGCCATTGGAAGTTTGTGGCGGGTTAAAAAATTTTGAAGAGCTGTTACGGTGAGTAGGTAGTAAGTTAATTAGAAAGAGTGTAGAAGTGTAGGATTGTTTAGCAGCAATGAGGGCCTAGTTGAGGTTATGTAACAAATTTGTAATGGACCCAGTCAGTAGGGTTATGATTTTCTCCAGCTTCATTCTGAAGCATGTGAGTAGGAGGGAAGGCAATTTCTTGTTTATAAAGAAGTGAGTGGAAGTAAAGAGAAGAAAAAGAGAACAGGATAAAGATTCACAATAATCCTAACTGCGAATGTGAAGAAATTGTTCATAAAGTGAGAGATACAAGAATGGATTGGAAAACAGAAGACCACAATATATTCAGATTCTGTGGGATATGGCCCACATGTTTAAAAGAAGCACAAAGATTTATAGTTAAAATGAAAGATGGAGCAAAAATCTATTATGCTTCAGCTGAACTATTAAAAAAAAAAAGCATGGGTAGCAATCATTTCAGATAATGTTGCAGTAAATATAGATACAACGCTGACTACCCTGGCTCCCACTGCCTGAAGTCCAGGTAGGTGAGGGTTCACGCTTCCCCCAGGGTTCTCTGGTACTCCCAGGGATTTGGGGTCTAGGTCCTCTGCCATTGGTTCCAGCTTCCATCCATGGTGTTCTCTTAAGTGTAGAGGGGCTCCCTCGTACTCCAGTTCTATTTAACCCAATTGTCAAATTAGCTTTGACAAAGAAGTATTTACTTCAGAAAGTATGATCACAAATTTACTCCCCCAGCTTGTGGGCCTCCTTATACCATCTCAGTCTCTGGGGAGGGGAAGATTTGGTTCACAGCTTAGCTCAGTTCCTATAGAGCAGAGGGCCCCTACCCCCCAAGAACAGTACCTTCCTGGGGGGAAGCCAGCCACCCTGGCTTCTCAGGAATCCCATGCTGGTCCAGCTGGCTGCTGCTCAGCCTGCAATCAGTGGAGATTGCCTCCAGCGCCTGAAACTGAGGACAAACAACAGAACAGAAACAAGTACTTCCAGTGCCATTTCTGGAGCCAAGTTAAAAGAGGGTGCAGGGAAAGGAAGTTCTCCTTTCATCACTTCAGTTCATGGTACCCATGCTATGGGTAAACTGTGATCTACGCCTTCACGATGCAGAAAAAAGCACAACATAAAGATAGGGGAGGAAAAAAGACTGGCTCAATTTCCCCAGTTTCAGATGTAAGAAGCCAATGAAATAGGATACTTCTACCCATGTGGTAGGCCTCCAAGTTACAGGAGCAAGTCCAGACCAGCCTAGGTTACTTCTCTATCTTATCTAAGATAGAGAAGCAGGGAAATTCCATGTTTAAAGGCACCATAAACTGAAAGAAGAGGTGAGACTGAGTGTAGGCCGTTGAATAAACTGTCAGTCCTGAAGTATTGCTTAGTTTTGCTGA